TCTGATTATCCGCAAATGGGGCAGTTAGTTACTCGAGACTCGCGTCAGGCATCGCGCCCGCATTGGGGCTGATCACAACATGGTCAGAACGGAACTTCATCTAAAATTAGCCGTGGCGCATCGCCACAGTCTGGTTGAAACACATCAGCCGCTCGACGTTCACAGGCTAAAATATAACGAAGCGGCAAAATCGGCCTACCAAAAGGAGACAGAGTTATTTTAATGCCACCTGTAGTGCCCAGTCGGGAAGTGGCAACGTCGATGAAGCTTACAGAGATAAAGAAACCATCATTCCCTTAGCGAAAAATTTTATGGAGTCAGGATGAGAACAGCCGGACTATCCTGGATTACGAAGAAGACCTTAACGCTTAGAGTAAAAAGAAATCGGCAAAGGACTTCTTGCAACACTCTACTGCACTTTCGAAGGCAGCTCATCGCAGTCTCATTCGTACACTTAACCAGAGCTACAATCGGGGCATGGAATTTTGAGTGTATGGTGAAATCAGGAAGATCGACAGGGCATCTACAAAAGGTGACTGACGAATGGCGTTCAAACAAGTGAGACAGTTGTCCGGTAAGCAGGAGACTCCGTTTGTCCTTGTCCAAAAGGTCAAGGGTGTCTGACTGGCAGGTCAGGGGGAACGCCTCAAAGATGGGATGAGCATTTCAGCAGCAGCTGCTCAGCGGCTACCCTCAGGATTTGTCATTTTCGATCTTCTAACACTAGAAGTTAGTACATAACCACCCATGAAAGTAGAAGTCTACAAAATCTTGTTACACCTCAAGATGAATACGGCTTACGGAGTAGATCGAATTCCTCCTGAGATAATTAATTACGGAGGGACGGGAATGGTATAAAAACTCCATGCCCTATTACAACAAATAGGAACCTACAAGCGTTTCCCAAAAGAATGAAAATGTGAAGTATCTGTCCCTATATTTAAAGGAGGGTCGGTGATCGAGTGTTCAAATTATGGTACCATATTACTGTCAACTCCCATGAAACTAATCTCCTGGGCTATTCTGGAAAGGCTGAGGCATGCAATTGATAGGAGACGGCCAAAATCAAGCAGGCTTCTGGATGGAGTACTCCTGTCCAGAACAAATCTTCACTCTGAGTAGGAAAACTGAGCAATGCCGGCGATTCCAGTTGCCTCGATTGACCAGTTTCCTCGACTTTGAAGCTGCATTTGATTCGTATCGTCTGACGATGAGGAAGATCTTGAAATGCGCCGGATACCTGAGTTCATGGTTTTTATTTTAGAAGCGAGGCATGCAGGAACCATGTCTTCTGCAAGAGTTGAATGAGAGATATCTGGGTATATCCCTATTAACCGTGGAGTTCGCTCGGGGGATGTGCTTTCGCCTTTGCTGTTCAAGATGGGTCTCGACTTTCTTCTCAGAAACCGTGCTGACAACCGCAAAGCAAAGGTCTCATTCCAGAACGAAGGATTAGTTTAGGATATAAGGCTAAATATCGTACTGACCTAGACTACGCAGGTAATATCGTCCTGCGGAGTAGAATGAGAAGCGGGCTCGTCACCTGACGAACTCTGTATGCAACACAGCTGCGAAAGCCGGCCTCTTCTTTAACGCCCGGAAATCCAGCGTAATGAAGAATCCATCCGGCAAGCTGACCTACGAATGGAACGGGGAAATGAAACTCTTAAGGAGGTTTACCAGGTGACCGTCTCGGCTCCACTGTCTTAAGCGGTGGCACTGTCCAGCCAGAGTTAAATATAATGATCACCATGTCCTCGGTCGCTTTTGGACGCCTATCAAATATCTGGGCCGAGAAAGGAGTTACTGATCCCAAGAAATTGCACTTTACGTCTGTCAGATCAGTATTACTCCACGGCCATCAAGACAATTTTTCTAAGGTGCAAGAATGACGGTTGAACTGCATACAACAGCGATGACTTCGACGCATAATGATGATTACACAGCAGGTCAATGTAAGAAATGACTCTATTCACTTCAGGGTGCAGGTAACTTCAATAGATGGGGGAATTAACAACAGAAGGTTGGCCCTGCAAACTGACTGAGAATGCACCATTTACTCGGGCCCGTGAGCTTCTCGCATGGAAGCCGAAACATGGAAGATGTTAATCAATAGGTCAGCGTGAAATACCGAGGAAAAAGATAGGGAAGATCTGCTTTAAGAGATTAGTGTTTCCTTCTGGAATGGAGTAACCGGTGTAAAGATGTTGAAAAGATGCGGATATCAGGAACCAGAGACGTTCTGCTCATGAAAACGACTCAAAGTAATGATATCAATAAAATCAACAAAATTATTACACGTAATTTACCAGGATAGCATTACCGGTTTAACCCTCCCGTCCTATGTTGCACTGTTACTCCATTGCGCTGTTCCAACAATGTTGGCAGAGCATTACAATCCTGATTGTCCATAACCGTTAACAAAATATTTTAGACAGAAGTTACTTATACCCCAGGCAACGAGTCGCTGTGTGATTAACAGCAGTGAAACATATCAAGAGCCTATGGGAATCGAAAGCAAACAAATGATTTGAGGTATTTTGCAACAGGTGGTAGTAGCATATTTCATTACAGCACTGCTATTATTATTATGCATTTATGCAAGCATAAGTCCTCAAGGCATTGTTACATCATTATTTTTGTTTCCTGATCCTGTGATGACTTAGCAATACCGCGACCGGTAGCGTTTAGAACAAGCACGGGAACATACTCCTACGTAACGTGTTACATTGTAGCTTACCAACGATGCTTTCATTCAAAAGCTCCCGCTCCCTAAATACTGTATCCAAGGTTATCTTCCCGACTTCAGACCTCATAGTAGTCTGTGCAAGTTGCGTAACTGCAAACTCTGCATCTTCTACGCCGTAGGATGCCTAAAAATTTACGCCGAAAATAAGAGGTTCAATGATGGCTCTGTGGCGCTTTCGTACCTTGAACGGGTCGATGACTTTCAAATACAAAACACCGTCAATCTGTAGAGCGACATTATCTAAAATAAAGCGGATGTAAAAGCATCTTCTTGGTTGAATGAAAACAGCGAAATGATGTCAAGTCGATGCGACGGAGGCAAAGGAACAAAGATGATATTATTAAGAATAAACAGTCAGCTCGATAAATGGCAGATTTGATTTGGTTTTGTTATCAGTACGGATATTTTCTGTCGCTTATTCGATTAGTGGTGACACCTTACACTGCTGTTGGTCTTCGCTAATACGGAACTAAATTCTTTCAATATAGTAAGGGCGGGTTAGAATCGATCTGTGCGGTGCGGTGCGGCGCCTTAAGACGAGCGAAAAAATAGTTTATCGTCGTGGGGCAAGTTCCATGTATTTCCTTGCATTCCTTATCCATCAGCACATAAACCATGACAATCTAAATTAGAATAGGGACACGGAACCGTTCTGCCCTACTTACGGTCAAGCCACAGAAAATGTTCCAGAAGCAATGGATAAGAACAACGACGTAATGAACCCAACTGTTATTCATCACCAGGGAAGCAAATGCGCAATGAAACGACCCGTGCGCAAACATATCTGAGAACACAGGACAACTATGAAAAAATAGTTCGCCGTGAAACGAGAAATACTACCTATGATAAATTCTTGTGTGAAGAACTCGATCAACCCGGGTCTAGTTTACATGGTTCCACTGCAACAGATAACCCAATGACAAAATAAACCCTTTCTATGGATTTAAGTCATCAATTTTTGTATAATCACTTCATTAACATGCTAACTGTGATACACTGAAGATCATTTAACGTAGGCCGATAACGCAGAATTATGTTCCTCTACCTTAATCAAGTGTCCAACGTCGCACTAATAATGGTTGGTCCAAAACCAAGTGCAGCGCTAAATAACAAAGGTGATTCATGTCAAGGCGCTCAACCAGTGAGATGCTACATCACCGAAGATCCACGGACATTCTATTCGCATTAACTCTTTAAATAATATATGGAAAGCACTCACGTAAGTTCAGTAAAGTATTTAAGAACTTCATTTAAACCCAGTGACTCGATCCCTGGAAAGTTACTCAGGAAAACACTTCCTTTACTGTCAACAACAAATTTTTTTGGCGAGCAAGGGCTACTTTCCTTTGCAATAGAGAGTAAAATGAAAGAAAGTTGTAACGCAGTTGAAATGTTCGTCGTATTCAAGCTTTTATAATGGAGCCATTTCCGGCGCACTGCTTCTCAAGTTTTTGGTGCAACGCTAATCTCCCTTTTCACGTCATCATTCAGAAGTGCCTTATTTTAAAGGCAATGTCGAAAGCAGCTATGTAGCAAGCGTAGTGTATAGTCTTCGGTTTTCTTCCGACGAAGCTGTATTCAATTATCGACTTCAGAAGGAAGAAAGACCAGTGACCTGTCCGAAGCTCGAACCCAGGACTTCTCGGTTCTGATTCCGACGCTCTACCGATTGGGCAAATCCAGTCCAACATACACGGTATTAAACGTTGATTAACGCACAAAATTTGAATCACATTCTAGCCAAAAAGAACGGGCACGAGCAAACATGGTTACCAAAAAATTACAGCTCACCGACAGTAATGGCACTTTGCTGCGGAATTTCAATCGCTAACTCTTTCAGACTTTGAATGTACGCGATTTTATCGATGATCGGCATTAGCAGATTGAAACCCTAAATCTACGAAAAGTTTTACTGCATAAAAATATTTTTTTGCTACTGGCTCCAGCACACGATGAAATCTGCCCATCCGCTCTATTACCCACGCTTCTTGTTGAGGCACGAAAAGCAACATCGAATTAAAAGCGGCACTAGAGCGTGGTCGTATCTGTAAAACCAGCCATGACAACTTTGACACATTTTTCAGTATCTGCCGATTCATTTTCAGCGGCGTTTCGTAACACCTACAAAAGAACTGATCACCAATTAGCAATTAAAACATCAAGAAACATGACCACAACTTAAGAAAGCGATCAACTGCATTACGCGCCAACAAAAAAAAACTTATCTTCCTAGCAGTTGACGCGATCCTCAAGGATATGATATGACTATATGCGTCCAAAAAATGACACACCAAGAAATTACATAATTAATTTAAAGAACATCCTATCTATAGTTGTTGTTCTTTCACTAGCTAAATGCATGAAAATAAGCTTTAAAAAAATCAGTGCAATGTAAAGATGGAAATACCGTTAAATGATCCTCCTACGTCCTATGATTTTAAACCGTACGAACTGCATATTAAACTAGAAGGCAAAGGAAGCCAATTTTAATGACTAACAGCGTAAGTTCTGCTACCTGCTTAAAGAACTGAACTGGTCAGAAAACATTACTAATGCGAAAATTCAGAAAAATTCTAATTTCTAATTCAAAACAATGACAGCAAACTGAAAAATGAGAATATATTCAGTTATGGCGAACAGCAGACAAAAACAAAAATTATACTGAGCATTGGCCATCTTAAGGGCAAACAATCCCATTCGGCCAAGCAACCAAATTGGTGCAGTAAGTCAACCAGCCCAAAATTATTCTGCCAAATCGTTTGCAGTAGAGATAAAGAAAGATATCGGTCTTCTACCTACATCTGCAAACATCAAAATCAGAAGCAATTTTATTAGAAGACAGGCCGAAGTTAAATTTTCGAAATTCTACGATAGTTGTAATTGATTTGCAAGCTTTAATTTACAAGATCAGTACAATTGGTCACATTTCTAGATCGTATGAGGGCAAATAGATTTTCGTGACTATTTCTTTTCCGTTTATTTACCAGTTACACGCAATGCTGACTTCATATTAGTATTCAGGTTGATTAAAGCAAATTGCTACTGCAAAGTTTACGCAACATGTAGCATGGTCATGTATTTAGTAAGCTCAGACATGACCACTCCAATTATTTGTGAGTCAATTCTAGAGTCTGTTCATCAGCAGGGAGCAACTGTTTGCCCACCTACTCATAGCTGAACCTTTGGTTAATGAAGCAAGTGACAACAGAGCTCATTATTTCACCACCTAATGTACTGCTCATGACTTGAGTGCTGCTGACGTCTTTAGACTCTTCTTCGGATATGGATTTTATCTGCGTTAGTTAAAAATGAATGTGTGACAATCTATCGCCCTGGAGGATAGTGGAGCTATGACTTACCGTGATTATTTAAATTCTAGAAAAGACAAGTTTATGATTTGATAATGGTTATCAGTAAATAGCATCGACTTTGCGGTTAAAATGCTAGTCTTCAAATAACAAACTTTCTAACTTCGCCGTTGTCGATCTCAATCCCGAATAAAAGATGAAGAGCGTTCGAGACCGTGGCGAAGTCTCCATAAAACCTAGACACTTGCACTTCATGGTATTGACGATATCGAAAATTTTACCGGCTCCGCCGTCGTCAGAGGTGCCAATGGCTGCGCAAGACATAGGTGGACTCCGGCAGTATACCAATACTTCGCGATGAGAACCTTCCCATTGCCTTCTGCCAGCTGGAGGCAAAGCAGCAAAACTACGGCTTACGAAAATCGACGGAGAGACTCTGAAGTTATTAATCGGCACCGGAGTCGCTACATGTTTTGAACAGAGGAGAAAGACAACGCAATGTCACTATAGCACGTCACAAACCGTTCCACAATAACGACAAAGCCAGTAGAACCTTGCAGTTGAAAATTGGAATATACCCACAATCAGAGCGAAAGAGCAGGAGCTTGCTCATGAGCCGTTAAGATCCCAACTCGACACAGTTGGACACTCGTCAAGAAGCGCCAAAGCCATGGAATCCTGAACCTCTGCGGGTGGAAGTTATTTTACCTAGATGTCGATACCACGACGCGCGCTCACACCGGTGTAGGTGTTTTGGTGGAACCCAACCTTACAGATAGGATCAAAGATTGGAAGCCGGTTAGTAGAAGGGTGGCTATCCTCCGGCTGAAGCTCCAACAAGCTAAAGAGTTTATTTTGTTTTAGGTCTATACGCCAATTTAGAGAGACAATTTGATTGCTCCCTGAGGAAGTACCGAAAATGGAGTTCCTAATGCTCATTGACGATTTTAATGTATATGTCGGAGTAGTCACTGAAAGGTGAAAAGGCGTGATAGGACAGAACAGCTGTAGCGACCTCAACAGTAACGGCATGAAGTTGCTGCAGTTATGTGGAAACAACGGACTGTCCATCATGAGCATCATTTTCCAGCATCGAATCGTACATCAGTATAGCTGGTACAAAGGAGCCGGTGCATAGAGGTCGGTGATCGATTTGATTATCGTATCGCTTCACTTACGACGCTCTGCAGTGCATGTTGGCGCTAGGAGAGGCGTAGAGTTGCCAACCGATAATAATCTTGTTGTAGGTACGCCATGGTGTGTGAAATGGTGTACCATGGTCTGGTGGCAGAAAGAACCAAAGCATTAAGTTTCAAACAATATCATCGGCGGTTATGGGAGCGAAAGATGTAAATAGTATCGTATGACGGTTTGAACAAATCCTGGTGATGATCGCTGATGTGGACACCTAGTAGGAGCTCTTTAGCAGGGTTATACTCAAGGCTGCCGCTGAATGTTAGGGATTCAAACGGGTTGGCCTGCCGTCTAGAGGTCAGGAAAGACGTTCTTGGTGGACACGAAAAGTACAACTGACAGTTAAATAGAAGAAGGCTTAATTCAAAAAATTGCTATGAAGCAAAGAACCTTCTACTAGCATGCCATATGTCGAAGCAATCAAGGCGGCAGCGAAAGCAGCGGCGAAAGCCAAAGCTAATTCCAGGGAGAAGTATGATGAAGTGTTGGAGTCGAATTTTCAAACAAGGTAAACTGGCAGACCATCTATCGGATCCAAGGTGAAATATCGGTTAGTCTACAAGACTTGATGGGCAGGTCTGGACACTGTCAGGAGTGCTACGGAACTCCGTAACCCCGACCAACCGCATTAACACTCGCATGCAGAGCAACAGAAAGCGAATATTGCTATTTCTGTAAATTAAATTCCACTATCTGTAAAAATCTAGAAATATAGTAAGACTGCTGGAATTCATGAAATCCGGCCTAATATGGTGAAAGCATTCAGCAAATAATGCATGCACGTATCTGTCAAACTGCAATGGTTACGGTGAAGAGAGTAGCCCACCGGAGGGGGGGGGTTGCTGTACCCCTTTTCAGGAAGGAACGACCACAGGAAGTGCTCCAATTTTTGGTTATTACCACATTGAGCCTCCCGGGCAAAGTTTGCTTAAAGGAGCCAGAAACAATGTGCTACGAAATAATTAACTCTAAGATACAAGGACAGCAGTGTTGCTTCCCGGCCGGTCGAAGCACTTCTGACCATATATTTGCTTTACGTCAGATTGTTGGGCAATTGTGTGAGTTCGCCCATCCGATATACAAATGCCCTGTTTGCTTAGAGTAATCCAATGACCGGATCCCACGTAACGATCTACTAGCGTGCC